TTTATATTGTATTTGACTTAATATTTATTAAGTAGATAATTATATTCAGCAAACAAAAAAAAAATTAAATATGAGCCTGCAAGTTGTGTAGACTCTATTGTAAATCAACCCAATATGAAGATATGATAGTGGATTCCAATCAATATATTAGTAATTATCGTGCGGCCATGTTATAGACGACTGCACTAAAAATTCTCACATTTGGCAATTCTTGAATGTGTGCTTGGTTTGTGGCGCAGGTTGCCTGAACTACAAATCAGATTTCAAGATCAGGTGCAACGTCCGTTTTGTCATAAATCGCATATAAAACTACTCTTCGTACACTAACAAAAAGGTTTCCTTGAGTAATTTTACTATCAACTATCCTAACCTCTAACCATAATAAAAGCCCTAACCTTAACATAAACGAACTTTGAAGAATTTTGACTGTGTCACAAACCTGGCACATATTCAAAATTAGTGTAAATTCTATTTTTTAAAATTAATTTCTGAATCGGTATTATAAAACAACAAATATTTTGAACTTCACTTATTTTCGAAATATATAGGTCAATTCTGAAAGCCTTATTATTATTGACATAGTAAAGTAAAAATACGTAGAGAAACTATCTTAAATAAGAAAATACATAGTCAAGTATTGTGTGATAAACTTATTATTGTGTTTTAATTAATAATTCATATTATTCGTAGAGAATAAAAAGCAAAGAGTAAGACTTCTCTAATAACAAATAATCTACTCGCATATTAAACTTGATTAACTTAGTTGGGTCTATAATCACGTTTTGATAGATATAAAACTGAACGTTACAAAATACAAGTCTCAAAAGTCCTGTTCTTATAAAAGTTTAAAAGAGGCGTTATTGAAATAAATTGTTGCATGAAGCACACGCTAATAAAAATCAAAAAATTCAGCAAAAATCAGTTTGGTTTTTGCTTAATCGCACTATTATGATAGATCCCTAATATAAAGTCAAATGAACATTTCAGAGCCTGATTATTTCAAACGTTTTGAACGACCCAAACATGTATAATCTTAAAACATGACCAAAGAGTCATTTAACATCATTTCTTCAAAATTGTAAGTATATAGATTAATAGTACAGTAATCTTTCTTGAGGATAATTATCTAACGAAAAAAAATGAACAAGAAACAAACAATTTACTAGAATTCTAAAATTTTATAAACTGCAAGACGAACATAATAAACATTAAGAGGATAGTTCGTTCAATAGAGAATAACTTTATTGATTCGGAAAATTAGAAGACACAATACAATTGTTTTTTTTTGTTAAAGTATATATCAAATCTTTAATAAAAGAAAGCTTTTTTAAAAATGCCTCAATGACTAATAAGACTATATATATATATATATATATATATATTTATCAACGTAACCATGGTGCTTGTCAAATCAATTGTTCTCAATACTATACAAATCAACTCTGTATGTAAGTAAAGAAACTAATGATCATGTACAAGTGTATAATATTATTTTTTTATAAGGTAAATTGGTTTTGGTGGTAACGATGGTGGCTGTCTATTTTTGGAGTGTAATGATTCAGAAGGCAACGTAAAATTTTTTATAGGTTCCTCTTTGTGCGATTTCTTGAGTGATTCTTCTTTAAGCAACATATTATTTCTTCGTCTACGTTGATAAATGAACCACAACACATAAATCGCACCCATAAAAATTACTGCTACATATGCTCCGATCAATACTAGAAACAATGTAAGTTCGGAACGTAGCCTGTTTTCATATTTATCAAAAATTCCACCAATTTCACCCCCATCACCCCCATTTGTGGCATCATCCTGTGATCCAACAAGTTTATCAGTAGTTTTACTTACTGCTTCTTTCATTCTCAAAGGACTAATCATTAAGATGTTATTATTCACTTTAGGTAACTCAATAGAAGCATGTTCCTTGATAAAAGTTAGTCCTGCTTGAATTCCTTCTATTTTCACAATAAGCAAACAATTTACAATTTGTTGAACTGCTGTTGATAATGCTGGTACACCTTGGAATGTAGTTTGTATAAATGAAGAAATCTCATCAACTGCCGTATTAAGAGTGTTGTTCAATGTTGTGGTTGTGATGTTCACCCATCCAAATAAATCTTGATTAACCCCATTTTCCAAGGTTGATATCACAGAATTGCTTCCATTGGCAAATTGTTGTGATGTATTATTCAATTGTGAATTCATTAAATTCAGTACAGTATCACCAAATGCACCTATTGCCTGTTGAATTGGCGCATGGTAATTTTGCCGAACTACATTCAAGATAGCTATTTGTAAGTATATTCACAGACTTCTCAGAGAAGTATCCACCCAATCCACTACAATCGCCAACCAACATTCAGCCATACGTTGGTTTGCGTGGTAGATTATCCCTTGCTTGGATCACATATCCGATAATAGCATTGCTATTTATAACTCTTCGTCTCATCATAGCAATGAACTCCATACAACCTTTAGTTGATGAAGTCAAAGAAAAAGCGCTTAAATCATGTGATTCTCTTGAACTTGCAACTTCAACCCTAATATCATTACCACACTTCATGGCTGATGGATTTAACCGTGCAACAGTTGACAGTATCAATCTTTCAATCAAAGGGGCTTCAAAAACATTGGATTTTGGAATTCTTGCTCTCGAAGGTATTATTGTTTGGATAATTCATTTATATAAAAGTACCTTTAAGTGCCTATTAGAATTAGCTATAAATGGTTCAATAAGCTCAGTTGCCGAAGCTGTAAAAGTTTTACAAGCATTTTCTACTACACAACTTACAAACATAAAAACCGGAATCGATAAGGATATTTCATCCGTAAATGCAGCTCTTAACTCAGTTCGATCAGCTATTTCTACAGCTGGATCTCTTTTTGGAAACATTAATGTTCCTACCGTTACAATTCCATCGGCAGATGCATTAAATTCTTTCCTACTCCCTACATCAAATAATGTAGCAGGACTTGACGCATTGAGTCAGAACATTCCAACTATTGCAGATATTGAAACAAAATTGGATAATCTCGTGACCATTCCTTTTGAACAACTAAGAAAATTGGTTCAATCAACAATGTCAAATTTAACTTTTAATCAAACAATATTGCCTGTTCCACCTCCAAATAATTTAAAATTTTGTGCTAATAGTTTGGGGAATAAAATAATGTATTTATGAGGAAGATTATAGAGAGGTTTCTATAAGTTTTAATCGAC